GGGTAGAAGTTCTACTGACGAAAATGAGCAATCTTTGATCGCTAGCATTCTTGAGGTGCTGCTTAAGAATTATATTGAAAAACTTCGAGCATGCATTATATACATTAAACAGATAATAGGATGTTTCAACGTTTTATCTGTTTTGTTCAAATGGCAAAGGTACCGGCTAAGAACAATATCGAAAATGCAGCTTCCCAAGAGCTCAACAGTCCCAAAAAAGCCTCATAAATCCAGCAAAAAATTTAGCAAGACTGAAATATCAAAGCAGTGGATCGGCAAAATGGATCCTTCTCGGATTTTGGTGGTGTCAGGTAGTAGACCCCCTCGCCAAGTACACTATAAACAATCCCACCTTCAATTCATGCGTAAATCTTGACAAGGTGCTCCAAAACTCCACCAATAACGCCCACTCAATGGAAGTGGGCTGGGCGGTGGAGTTTTGAAGCTCCTTTACAGGACTTAGCGAATTAACTAGAGTACGGAGTTGCGGCTACGTGTACTTGGGCGAGGGGGCAGGGTCTACCACCTAAGACCGAAACCCGAGAAGGGTCCATTTTGTCGATCTATGCCTATTAGCAGGATAGGGGTCAAGCACGTGGAATGGAGCTACTATTGTAGGCCTGTAAAGCACTACTGCAGAAATGGAAACAAATATGGGTTTCTGTAAAAAAACTGGCAAGACTTCTTGAAAATAAAACCAGTAAAGTGGTAAACTCAAAATTTTATAAATACGTTTATAAAAGCGAGAAAGCAAACAATGGCAATGCAATCACTAATACCAACAAACAATATGAAAAGCGTATAAGATCATACCTATAAGAAAATGTCTACTTCTTCTTCTTATTCTTCTTAGCTGTCGAAGGTCCTGCACCGGCTGTGGTAGCCGTGTACCCAGGTTGCCGTGTTTTCAACTTGGGGATCATAGTGGCGACATACTTCAGCAAAGCAGTACCTGGGAGATGATAGCATAAAAAAAGAAGAAATGGATAGTAGTTGGCAAAGTAGAGCTTACGGGTTGGATAGTCCTTATTCTTGGGAGTTCCGTCATCGTTTTTCAACTGAACTCGAACGCGACCTCGATTCTCGGGTTCCCGATCTTGTTCGCGTGGATGAAGTTTTCCTCGCTGGAAATTTATGTCTACTATAGCCAATTAAGAGGGTGGACACTCACGTCAAGTACTGGATTCAAACCGGTAGCAGACAAGACGTCAAAAATCTCAGCTGGTTTTGGGTTTTCGACAGCCTTAAATCTT